CGGCCCGCGGGACCGCCGCCGCTCGCCCTGCTGCACCCTGCTCTGGCGGAGCAAGGAAACCCGGTACCTGCCCGAGCCTCATGCGCTTTGGGGGAAAATAAATCTTCCGTGCCCACCGAAGGATTCCCGAAGGAAACACGTGGAAGCCTGAGGGCTAAAACGGCATTATTTCTCATCCTTTCAGTATCTCTGAGAAACCTTATAACCTACAGTAGCAAAATAGAAACTTGGCCATAAATCCGGGCTTGCAAGCTCAGCACGAAGAACATGTGAGCAGCCTCTTAACTCATCCGAGTCTCAGAGGCGATGCGCAAGTTAAGGCTGCATTAACATTACTCGTGAATATAACATGTAATAAGTCAAGGCTTTGGGGGGAAAAAAAAAAAGTTTCCCCGCTTGCCTCCACCTCTGGAAGGCCCTGTGCGCTGCACCACCAGCAGCAGCCTGCTAAGGACTCAGCATCGTTCCTTTATCAAAGCTAACTGCAGTTTACATTTTGCAAATTACAACGCGGGATCAATATCAAGCGAGAGAAGTCCCGCGCGCCGCCCGGCCGAGCCTGAAAAGGGCTGAGCGTTGTAGCGGGGAATTTCCGCTCAGCGCTTCCTCATAATAAAGCTAAAGCTTTTGTCAACTTCTATTTATAATAATTAACTATTGTAAAAAATTATTTTTATAGCTCCTAATTTTGGAAACGTCTTCGGTTTCCTTCCCTAAATCAGACCCCCAAAGAGGCATTGTGTCTGTTACAGCAGATGTAGAAATCAGCAAAATCTTCAGGAAATGCTTGTGCCACTGCAGGGCAAGTACAGAGTTATTTTTAGTACACGGTGTAATTTTGAAGCGTTCAGCAAGTTAAACCCCAGAGGAGGCATTGCTCTAGCGCTACGCTGTTGTCACACAAACATACTTCACACCCTGACAAGTCCCTGACGTGCCCAAACTACACCTACCTCTGCTATCGGTTGTTATTTCGTTACGGGAGCGCCTGGCGGCTCAGGACCTCGGGCACCAAGCGTCTCACTGCAGCGCAGTCCCGGCCCCAGGAAATTTAGACCGAGCTCCAGCGACATCGACACAAGTGCTCAGCTTTTGCATACAGATAGCTTCCTTCAGCTTCAGGGGAAGTGTTCCCCGGTGCAGTGCTGAATACGGCACGTGTTTGTGAAACAGGGGGTCTGCGCTAGTTAGACAGTTAAAGCGATGTGTGCAACGGCCGGAAAGAGCAGTTAGCAGCAGAGGTGCAATGCTCACATCTATGCTCGGGGACGACAGTGCGTCCTTCCCATCTCCTAAAAGCTTGCCGTTATAACAAGGCTGCTTGAAGACTAAATAATTCAGTTTTCAGCGAAATATTGATGCGGTACTTGTAGCTTGCTGAAGGGATGGTAGATCTGATTATGCAGCACAGATCTGGCAGGGCTGCAGGCCGCTTTCATTGCAAGCAGGACATCGGAGAGCCCTGTAGGACTCTCTAAATCTGTTCGCCAGCATTGAAAACTTGCTTCCATGGCACAGCGAGCAAGGAGCAGAGCCTGATCCTTTACACTGGGAACAACTGCGTTCAGCCTCTCCTTTCTGAAACAAAAAGATTATGCAAAAATCCATTACTTGATATCAGACATCAAAGTCAGTAATGCACTTGAAAGAGGGAAATTCCGTCCTCCAGTCTTTAAAGTAATTGTTGCTCCTGACGTACTCCTCTGCCAAGAATATTTTGCGCTCTACAGCCAAATCTTCAAGGAAAAGGCTCCCATGTATCTGGGGACAGCTTGTGGATACCTCTGCAAGATGAGATGAGCTAACGTGACTGGGATTGTAACACAAGACATTAAGATTCAGCCTTTCTTCTCCTGCATGGGTTTGTGTAGCTCCACTCACGCTCCTGTCCTTTCTTAAGACATCCGTCCTCTCAGCTCTCTATCTTCATTAGAGCCATGCTTCATTTGTTCGTGCACCTCTCCTCTCCCTCACCGACCCCCTATCTTGCACGCACGCAACTCCTTTCAAGCTACCCTTTGTGCCTGCAACTCCCTCCAAGGGTGCCCAGCACCCTATTTCAAATCCCATCTTAAAATTCACGGCTTCCATGGAGCCCAGAAGTGATTAAATATCCTCCATCAGGTATGTCACTGCACAGGTTTATTCTTTTGATGTCAAATTCAGTGGTTTGCATCATTCCTGTACAGTGGTTCTACTTTACATAGCATTATAGAACTAGGCTGAAACTAAGTTATGTAGAGTTGGTGCCCAAAATGCTTCATATTGATGCCTACTTATTAATTTGATAGTCTAAAGTAATTGATTTACCTCAGAGGTAACCACATTCCTGTGCTTTGGGTGTCCTTAAATGGGTGTTTATAGTACCAGTCTATATAAAGTCCACAATTATTCTTTAAAAAAATCACGATCTTGGGACCCTCAGATTTTGCATTTTATTCCTAAACATCAAGTGGAACAGATGTACTTTGCTGAGCTCTTATAAGGTTAACAAGTTACTCTAAAACATTGCCTTATAGGAGCTGTTGCCCTTCTCCAAAGTGTGCTCTTCCAGCAGGGGCAAGTGGATGAAGGCAATGAATCACCTTATGGACATCCTTCTCTACATATATACCCCCAAAAGCTAGCAGTACTTTTTGATGGCTCAGGTGCCTGCCAGTAGGTAGGATGAATCTGGGTTTTTATGATGAAAACCTGTTTCTGAAAATCAAGTTTATATCAAAAGTTACACAAAACAAAGGCCAAAATCACTGCTCTCTTTTCCAGGGTTGTTTCAGTTTTCATGGTGTCTTTACACAAGTGAGCCATAAGCAAGATTTGTGTTTGCAGAACATCTAAGATAACCTGCAGTAAGCACAGGAGGGCACTTTCAGATCTGCAAAACAGCAATGCTCCATAGTTGCCCTGTACAGCAACATTATGTTCTGTGGGATCAAATTATGGTCAGACTAATTGGTATTCTGACCAAGACAGACTAACCCATGAGAAAACAAGTGGAAGAAGTAATCTTATTCAGGTGATCTTAAAGTTTTAGCCCCAGGCCCTCTCAACCGCACAGCAGCTGTGCTTAGCCTGGTCAGGTTGGAGAGACCTCAGACCTGCTCTCCAATTCCACTGGGAGACAGGACTGAAGGATGGACCTATGCCAAAATACATTAACAGTGTAAAAACCGCTAAGGGGAAAAAAGAACTAGGAGACACGAGTATGCCGGAAATGGAACAGTGTCCCCAGTGTGCAGACAGCACACTGCAATGTTGATTAATTATCTCCCAAGTTGAAAGAGGAGCAAAACTGATGCTTTATTCCAACTTCAGTGTAAGTGTCAAATACAGACATAGATGGGGCTTGGATGGGAAAGCTCAGCAACCTGACCAGGCCTCTAAGACCCAAGAGCCTTGGGGAGAAACCACTGGGTTCCATTTTCTCTTACCTGCACATACTGGTTGCAGGCAACCTTTTTTTCCACATCTTTTCTGTGTCCATCACTAAACTTTTCTTTCCTTTCCCGGTATTTGAAGGCCCAGTCATTTATTCCCTCAGTCTGGATGATTCTTCTCATGAGCTCTTTCTGGTCCATTGGTGCCCGGATGATTTTCAGGTTATTAGTGTAGATGATGATCTTGCCAAAATCTAGAATTGGGGAAGTCTATAGAAGGACTTTATGAGTATCTTGCCTTTATAAAAACACTCTACAAACTCTGCTGATCCCTGGACTTCACAAGGGATATGTGCTCTGCTTGGTCACCTGCTGGGCTGGCTCTGCAGCACAAGCCAACAGGCCACGGGAGGTCAGAGCACGAGTGGAACGCTGGTGGGAAGGTGGCCACACTGGTCCATGAGGTCAGACTCAGACTTTGGATCTAATGTTTTAAGTCTTGCTTTAATATTATGCTCTGGATGGGGAAAACTTTCGGGATGTAAATTCTCACTTCAGCCCCCTATGGAAGAAAAAAAATCCTCAATTCCAAGAACAGGGGAGTTTCCAGTGCACTGGAAATTGACCTACGTTTCTCTGAAGATTAACCAGTTTGTGTAACATTTTTTTCCAGGGTTTTATCCAGAAATAGGGACTCCAAACGATGGTGACCTTCTGCAGCATTTGATTGGGTTTTTCACATTAAAAAGAGTATGAGAAAACAGTTTGGGTTATTCATCTAAATGAAGGTGAGCATTTAGAGGGTCATGCAGGAATAACTCAGGTCCTCACCAGTATGCTCTCTCCTAAGAAATGAGCGTTCTAAAACTGAGGTCTGTTCATGAGCTCCCTTGCATACTAGCTCCATTGTTTGCTTATACAACTGTTGCCCTGTCCACTTCTATCTTCATCACATTTTCTTATCAAAAGGCAGATGATAGAAAGCAGGATAAGTATGATCTCATCATTAGAGAGCAAGGCTGGCCAAGGTCCTCCAGGCCCACTGAGCACTCGCAGCTTCAACTGATGTTACAATTCGTGCTACTGAATGAGCTGGCATCCACGTAGCTGTTCTGCAAACAAGGCCTTTCCATTACTTTGGGTTAGTCAAAATTTTTTTTCCCTGTCCAAAAGCAGGAAAACCTCTTTTCTTTGCAATTTAATGCTTGCAAAGTGGTCAGAGAGAGATATATATACACATATGTGTGTATATATGTACACATACACATACATATACATATATAAATTCTGTTCCTAACAGTGAGAAGCCAGTCTAAAACAGCCAAGGAGACACCCGAATTTGCATTATTTTCTAATGATTTTAAAATTAATCTTGGTCTGGTCAAACACCTTTCTGAAAGCAACATTTTGCTCTCCTGTCCTTTCCCTTTATTTCTGAACTAAGTATCATGTGGCAGCTACCATAGCCTATTGCTTTACACACTGTTCATATTTCACTCTGTGCAAGTATCTGTGTCAAAAAGCAACGCAAAAGGAGGTGCTCTATTCTAAGAAAATACCACATCAGACTTGCATCAGCTGATATAAATTGGCTGACGGCTCCCCTGGCAGTTTGGCATCTGCTTCTCTGTATCAGTAGAAGCAGGGGAAAGAAAGCAGGTGAGCACAAATCCTTCCCATTTGCAGAAGACTTTTTTTTTTTTAAGCCTCATATTTGTTACACAGACATGGCGCTTCCAAATACCAAATGGATGTTGATACAAAACAGAACTGGTATTGGATGGGGTGGTTACTCAAAGTAGTTATGGTTAGGGAAATGAGGGACTAGAGGTGAGCATTACCCAAGAATGCAGAACAAATTAATGGCATAGACAAGAGCACCTGAGTGTTCTGTTGTTGGGCAAATATTCATTGTGGCTTGGTATTTTCAATTAAACCAGATGTCCATTGCATCAACTAAATATACTTCAGCTATCAGCAATCTGGGATTCCTACATGCAACTCTGATTAGCACCAAGAACTAATAGACTTTTAAGGTGGAAGTAAAGCGTTCAACCAAAGCCATAAGAAGTATTTTATATTTTTTCAAGAGCTTCTTCAGACTCTTTGGTTGTGGAAGTGCCAAAGTGACTGTTCAAGAGGCATTCCCCATTTATTCAAAGATGAGAACATATAACAATATAACTGTATTTGTACTGCAGCTGTTGATGTACTTGAATAAACTCAAATTTCTCTCTAGGGATATTCTTAATTCTTAACCTTTCTGCTACCAACCGGTGCAAAGAAACCAGTCACTGTAGGCCTGGGAGGATGTGTGTTAGTGTTTGCTGGACAATGGACTGACTTGTTCTTTGGAAAAAAAAAAAACAAACTGCTCATTGCTACTAATCTGACCTGGATTTGAATGAGCTGACTACTGGAGAAAGGCTTTATATATAGATCAATTCAACAAGCTAACTAGCTTGCATGGTCTTCCTTTTTACTTTTTTTCCTGAGCAGACTCACCTTGAATTCTACAAATCTGCTGATTGCATCAATATAATGCATGCCATTTAGAGTCTGTGAACTTATAAGTGTAATGTGGCTATGTTATTAATAGCGCTCATACATCATCATTATATAAGTTATTGTTTAGTTCATACATGTAGATTGGATAAAATCAAATAGCTGTAGGATGCACTTCTAACTTGGCAAGGTAAGAATCTGAACATAATCCCTGTATATTAATCAATTGAACATATATTACACATACACATGCATTTTTGTCGTAGCTAAAGAGGCACTACTATAGCAGTGGCATTAATTATTTGGTAGTAAAATGTCCAGTGAAACTAAGCTGGGAATTTCAAAGTAGCTGAAGGGTAACTCTGACTTTCTGCAGGATGTAAACGTCTCACTCTGAGGTTCACTGGTATGCTGCCCGTGGCACTAACCTTTTCACCAGCTCAAGTCACGCAACTTTCACATTAAAGACAGTTAACTAAAATAATATCCACCTTACGTTTGGCTGTTAGAAATCCTAATACATCTATATGTATAAATATTGATATACATGGAATTGCTATATATTATTCTATAAAATGCAGACATACAGAGCTGACCCAGCAGGGAGAGAAAGTGAAGCACAGATAACAGATGCTGTTCATTTGCTGACCACCCTTTTGCAAAACATGCAGATCCTGCAACTTGCAGAATAAGCAAAACAGAATTTGTGGCAAAAAGGCTGAATATTTACAGACACATTTTTAAAAGACTGGATTGGCAGAACTGAGCTGCATCTGAATGAAGTCCCAGTCTGAGATTCCAGTTGCCATATTATTGTAAATGGTCTATCGTCTAGTCTGAAGCTGGTTTCCAAAGAGTTTAGGCTGGATGTTACTTACCCTACAATGACTTTCACTTGACTGGTAGTCATTGAAGAGAGGAGAGTTACTTGTGAGATTGTATTTCTGATCCTCTTTGAATATACTGATCCTTTGAGCAGTCAGCTTGGCTGGTGAGGAAAACCTGTGTTCTGGTGTTTCCCCAGCCCCACAGAAACGGTCCTCTGGCTCAAAACTGTGGCGAATAAAACGCCGAGAGCACTCTTTCGCTGGAGGTTCAAGTTCCTGGCCATCTTCATAGACTTGTTTTAGCACTCGACCACTGTAGGCTGAGGATATTTTGAACCTCACTTTGCGGGGTCTTCCCTCATGCCTTTGATTGAGTTTCTTCTGATGCTCATCCATTGCTATGATTTCAAGTTGCAGCTCCTGGAAATCAACTCAGCAAGGAGAGCTTTGGGTCCAAAAGAAAACTCTCTACAGTTTCCCCCAACCATGCAATGTATAATTCAAGATTTCTAGCGGTCCCTCTCATCTTACGGCAAAGGTGACACCACTGTATTAAATATTGATAGATATTCACAAAGAGAAAACACTTATAGTGATGAAATATAAGGCAAATTTTACTGAACTTTACTGAATGGTGGACAGGTTGGCTTACAAAATGAGAAAAGGAGTTAACTTGGGGAGGATAGGATTAAATTTGGAAATTCTGCCCATCCTATGAAGCCATGGAAATGCTTCTGCTATATACTGTGATAAGAACTATCCCAAATACACCATCCCAGCAGCTTTTCAGTTTTCTGACAAGCTGAAAAGTTAAAAAGACAAGTTCAGAGAAAAAGCAATCCAACTTCACAAACAGCAAATGTGAATAATTCCTCTCCTATTCTTACTCTGAAGCCCTGAGAGTACAAAGCTCCATTTCATTTTAATCCAAATGTGTTTCTCTACAGGTTGGTGGAGATCTAATTAAGATTTTCTGTCTCCTCAGCTTTCAATCCTTATTTGTAATTCCTGCTGGCTTTCAGGGCCCTTTGACCATTCTGGTTTTGCTTTTCTATTTTTAAAAGGCAGTCACCTATTGAGACACACAGGAGGCCCAATCCGCTGCTTTTTTACAGCCCCTTACACATATACAAGGAAGGTGGAAAATACAGCTGCTCTGATTCGGCCATTTTATTTTTTTTACAGGAGGCAAGGTGCAAAGCAGAAGGGGTAAGGCCCCAGGAACCCAGATTTTCCTTGGAAAAGAACAGTCTTCAGGGCTGCGCACATCTCCATTTTGTGTGACAGCTCCTCAAGATACTGGTTCCTGATAGACAACCTAGTTTAGTGTCTAACTGAACCTCTTCTAATTCCTTGACACTCATGCTGCCCTCAGTCCATACTGCAGTTAACCATGACCCAAGTTTCTTACTTTCCTATGGTAAAGCGCTGCTTTAAGATCTCTGCCAATTACTCAGAAACTGATACCTTGCTGGCAGGTACTTTCTTGCTCTGTTAGAGTAGATGTTCGCTCTTCCCGTTCCCAGCTGTACGTATACTTTGGGCTTTTATTCTCTGCTCTCAAATGGAAAGAAATAATATATTTATGAGAAGCATACTTAGCACAAAATGCATCAGCAGAGTAACTGTCGTCTGTCTTTTAAAGATATTGTAATACCTATTTATATCAAGTACACACAGCAATAGTTACAATCTGTCTTCTTCTGGGCTCCCGTATTTCAGTAAACTCCTTCCGCAATTAAATGTGGTTTCCTTGTGCGGGGCTTAAGCTAAGCTTTCTGCCTACATCCTGCTCAGACTATCTTAGTATAATTTAAAAATAGAGCTTTTAAAGCTAAATATTCTCAATAGTTTCATTTATTATGCTTATTAAAATGATTCATTCACAACGTACTAGGAAGAGGGCTCAGAGGCGTGCATATTAATGAAATATGAAGCATCCACTTGGTGCTGGAAGAAAACCTTGTTCAGTATAGGCCTTCCAACCAACATAACAGTCTTTATGCGTTGAAAATGATTTCTACTGTGACAGATGCTGCTCTTGCAGGTTCCTTGGGCCGCTGGAAGCCTCATCATAGCTACATTTAAGAGACGCATGTTCTGCCCACAGAACATCGCGCACACATGGATGGGTAAACATACACAGCCCCGGGTGGGCTCTCTTCATTTCCAAAACACTTTATAACGTCCATCTTCATGTCAGCCTCCCATCCAATCTCAACTAGGAAAATCTCACATTATATGAGAACAACTTTAATTTGTATTAATAAATCTCAGTTCTTCCAGTATTCACCTGAAAAGTTTGATCCGCCCCTTTCCCTCCTATGCACTGTCCGAGTCAGTCTTCAGCATTGCTGCTTTTTCCAAGGTGCACTAGTGATCCTAATTTGACACAAATCATACTTTATTAGATCCCTTTAATCAAAAGAAAACAAACTCCAGTTAAGGTAATCAAACAGGAAACAAAGTTCAAAGCAGCAATGAGAGGACCGGGCGCGAGCACCACTGCAACAACCTGCATGTGCAAGACGAGCAAAGTGACTTCCAGTACTCGCAGAGGCTGCCAGAGCGCAACAAACCCACCATGGCCCTATATAACGTTCCTGTTGGAATGACCCCATCTGCTGCAGTCGTATCAGCCGGGTTTTCTGTTTATGCAGACAGCTTGTGGCAGATTGCACAACCTCTGCATTTAGGGTGAAATTCAGGCTTCCACAGAAGTGGAAACAAGATCCTTCAGCCTCGCGTTCCCCATTTAAACCTAAGGCTGGCGCACAGCGGCTGCTCTTCAGGTTGGCTGCAAAGGAATTCCTCACTCCGCCACGCACTTATTTTCCTGTACAGAGAAGTCTTGTAAAGAAAAGATTTTTAAACAGCCTTCTTGTGTTTCTTAGCTGTTTCAAACAACTCAGGCCAACCGCTCTGAACTGAATGCTCCAACCGGGGGACCTTCCGGGCAGCCCTTTCCCCAGCCCCAGGGGCGTTCGCCGCCGGCAGGCGGCTTGCTTTCCCACAGCTACCGCAAGCCTTACTTAAAATACAACAGTTTTGCGTACAACAGTGAAATCCTTAAGTTTCATAATCGAGATCATCACAGCACAATGTTTCACGGTAGACTTTCCACTGTGTTTTAAAGATATCTGTCTTTCGAACGTGAAGGCTTTTCTTCCCCCTTCTGTCCGTGCCAGGAAATACCGAACGGCGCTAGCGGCGCTGCAGAGCAGAGCGAGAGACAGCCCTTGCCCTAAGGAACGCAACACGCCGTTTTAGAGCTATTGCAGTAAAGCAGGGTACGCGCGAACTAGGACAGAGAACAACCATAGCGAACAGGACTTATTCTTCGACAACGTGTTTCCACCTGCAGGTTTTGTTGAGAATTGTTTTGTTGCTCCTTCTTGGGAAAGTACAGGAGAAGTCATAGGCAGTAAAGAGGGACACGGGGAAGCGTTACTGTTTCAGCTGCAGGACTTCCCGAAAGCTTCAGTCCTGGCCCATGGCTCACGTTAAGCGCTCGCAGCATCTTCAGGCAAGCTCTATGGGTGACTACCGGGAAAAGACAAAAAGGGGCCCGAGCCAGCGCCAGAGGCCCCAGAGAAGGGCTGGATGGTTGGGGATAAGGAGCCACGTCAGATCCGAAGGGAGCAGAGAAGCAAGGCAGAGCTTGAAAGCGAGGTCGCAAGTATTAAACTTGTTTCAGTGTGGGAGCAGCAAGTGGAAAGGTTCAGGCCAGCAGTCACAGATCTGATGGATTTAAAGGGGTTGGAGGGGGCTGTGCGTGTGCTGAAGAGGCCAGGAAATAAAAGCAAGAGAGAAAAGACAGTGCATGAAGACATAAAAGGAGCTATTTGCTGCTAAACTAAGAAAAAGGTTAAATTTTTGAAGTGTGCTGGGGAAAGAAAAACCTCACTAGCATTTGGACACCTCTTGGATGTATGAAGAGAAAGAAGGGAAGGAATCACCGACTAGTTGTGAGACTCGATGGTGGGAAGATAGTGGCATTAGTACCGTAAAGGCGGTGGTGAATACGAGGAAACACCAAACACGCCACGTTAACCGCAGCTGACTGCTGGCAAAAGGAGGCTTTCCTCCTTTTCTGCAGCTCTTCTGCGTTTCTCTGCAGCAGGGGGCAACCTGTCCCCAGCTACAGCGAGGAGGGGGCCGGGCAGGGCTGGCACCAGCTCTCCGCCCGCCCAGCCCCCCAGCCCCGCCCCTCCCCCCGCGCCCTTCCTGCGGCGGGCTGCGATGCCGAATGCCCCCACCATAAATCAGGAACATCCTTAAGTTTTGGCCCTTGCTGCTTTTTCTGAAAGGCTCTTACAGACTCTTGTTCCTCGGATGACTAGAAATCTTCTAATTCCCAGCCTGAATTTATTCGCAGCCAACTGCTGCTCGCTTGCTCCTGCGCCAGTACTGCCCTTTAGCTTAAATACCTCCTCGCCGCTGACAGTTTTACCTCCTGACGCTCTTACAGAGAGCAGTCGCAACCTTCGCCTTGCTGAGTTAAGCAAATCCAGCTCTTTAATTTCTTCCCGCAGAGCGGACGCTACGTTCCCGTCAGCCTCCAGCCCTTCCCAGATCCTGCTCCACTTTCAATTTGTTCCTCTACGGCGGTGCGCTGGAACCGCACCGGCGTCCTGTGCCGCTAGCCTGCCCCTGCGGGGATTTCATCCCCCGGCCGACGGTTGCGATCCCGCTACGCCCCCCTGCAAGGGCAGCACTGGAATTTTCCTTCGTTTCGTTTCTTTTTCACCTTAAGGAGAGCTCACGACGACAGCCTCCTTCCCCTCCGCCCCGGGCAGGGTGCGGGGTCCCCGCCTCAGTTTCCCAAGCCAGGTGCACTGGCTCAGGCTTTGGGTCAAGTTGCTCAGAAAGCAGAAAAACAAACCGCATAAGAAGGGGCAGAGCCAGAACCCCAGCACACAGACAGGAGTTTTGTCCAAGCCAAAGCTGTTCTTCACCGCTTTGGAAGTTATTCACCTGTTGGCTTTTCAGCCTCATCTTCCAGCCCCCTTCTGCCACTCTCCGTTTTCCA